AATTTTCGTTTTTGAGCCAATCATCTGATTTCTGAATGTCACATGACTCTGGAGCCCTAGAAGCCGCAATCAGCTGAATATTGAGACTCTTTAAAGCTTCAGCATTTTTGGAGAAAGCCATGTTGGATATGGGTTTGCATTTATATTTAGTCTGAGGCTATGCAGAGAACTGTAAACACCTCCTGGCATGAGTGCTAGGGCGTGCAGTTGACTTAATGTGAGTAACAATTACGTATATGTGGCACAATTCATGACTCAGATACTGAACGTGGGTGACAAAGAGATGCCTGAACAAAACCCAAATCATGGCGACTCAGCAGTGACTCTCATCAGGGAAAAAGATTCCAGCTGGCCAAGAGAGTGGTGTGTCATGATACTGCTGGACATCGTGTGTCGTATCCGTGTCATAACATTCTGAAATAAAGCCTACTTTCTGTTATATATATATATATATACACAACAGTTCGTTCTGGTTCTCAAATCTGATTGGTTGAGAATCGTGAGATATTGTACTGGTATCGCTACAGGAACGCCCTTTCACAATTTTGTATCACTTCCCTTGTTCTAGCCGGGTGTCACGAATCCGGTCCATTGAACTTCCGTCTGCTTGCTACCAGAGGTCACCCTTCCACTACTATGGACTCTTGCACCCCACTACTGTTGCACTTTACCCGGACTACAGTTCCCATCATCCATTGCACTGATTACACACACACAGTTGATTGCAAACAGCACTGATTGCACACAGCTGTCATCAATCACACCTTCCCTATATAACACTCACTCTGTTCCCCGTCAAGCTGCCGCGTATTGTATAGCGTTTATCACTCTCATAGCAATAGCAGCTCTATGGAGCTTGTCTAGTTTTCATAACCTTATCTTAGTCGTGCCTTGTCTGTTTTCTCGTGTCCTGATCTTTGCCTGTGTTTCTCGGATTCCCCCTCTTGTCTTGCCCTATTCGATACTGTTTGCCCCTGCCTGGACCTTTGCCTTGTACCTGGATTTATCCCTCTAGTCTTGCCCTGTTGATTCTGTTCGCCGATCGTATACCCACGCTAGCCCTAGGATATATTCTTGTGTCTTGCCTCCTACATACCTGTTGCCATTATCTGACCCTTGCCTGTCTCTACCAAGTCTATTAATAAAGCTTTGCACTTGAATCCGCAAGTCTCACGTCTCGTCAGCCCCGTAACAATATATTCTTGTGTCTTGCCTCCTACATACCTGTTGCCATTATCTGACCCTTGCCTGTCTCTACTAAGTCTATTAATAAAGCTTTGCACTTGAATCCGCAAGTCTCACGTCTCGTCAGCCCCGTAACACCGGGTCTATGTTTTTTTTTTAATTATTCACTGAGCTAATCGTAGAGTACGTTAGTTAATATAAGAAGAAATTTCTAGCTTTGTTGTCACTCTCTCTCTCATTTGGATGCACGTCTTGCCGCATTGTTTCTCTCTTATAACCTCATTATTTCTTACTAATTACCTAACTGAAGCAGCACATGCCCTTGATATGAATTCTAAAAGTGACGTATGTTTAACTGTCAACTTGAGCTTTGAATCCGTGGCGGAAGGAAGTAGTTCTGCACAAAAGAGGGATTTAGGCACTCCATTGTTTCTTGTTTAATTCCACACATGTTCTGTCGGTTTCTCTCTTATAACCTCATTATTTCTTACTAATTACCTAACTGAAGCAGCACATGCCCTTGATATGAATTCTAAAAGTGACGTATGTTTAACTGTCAACTTGAGCTTTGAATCCGTGGCGGAAGGAAGTAGTTCTGCACAAAAGAGGGATTTAGGCACTCCATTATTTCTTGTTTAATTCCACACATGTTCTGTCGAACTGTTGTATAAATGCAATATCACTCTCGTACTCGAGTGATATTGCTCATTTATATATATATATATATATAGGCATAATTATTTTGAATATATTCAGCTATCCATACATCTATGCATCTATCTATTAATCTATCCATCCATCCAATCAATATCAAATTGCTTTGTTTACCTAATCAGAGAAGCTTGGATCTTTTCTGTCATAACTTAACTTAAAATCAGACAAAAAAAAAAGCATGTTGATTCAGAAGCTTTGCTCATTAGATGGCAGTAATTATAAGCACTGATAATATTGTTCTGTATCATTATTACTGCTACATGATTTTTCAATAATTGTCAGAATAATAAAGCAAATTGTGAACATATACGGAGAGTTTCTGATTTAAGAAACTGATTGGCTGGTTAAAGCATATTAGTCAACAATGTGCCCTTTCGACAAATACATAGAAAATAAATCATTTATAATGTATTCTAACATATCAGTCTTTTTCCCCACATACCAAATCACTCAGAAAAACACAGATGTTCATAACAAGCATCTATTCGTCTACATAAAAAAACCTAACAAAACAAAATTCTCAAATTAGAATGCAGAAACATTTTCAAGAGAGCATGAAATGTTGCAAAAAAGGTAAACCAATTATTCTACAATGACAAAAATGTGTTTTTAATAAACCACTTAACACCATGTCTTAATGTCCGAAGTTAATTAAAATATTTTATATCTATGAAATGTGGTTTTATTTACTCCAATCTTTAGTAAATCATGTTCATAATGTTAAATACAATCACACAAAACAAGTGCACCAACACATGCTAACTATGAAAACCGGTTTGCACCTCAGATTAAAAAAAATAAAAAATTAAAACCGTTTTCAAATGAGAAAGTGACATTTGATATTTAAGGATCCTATTACAAGAAATGAAACTGCAACAGTGAGATAAAAAGACAAAGTCACAATTGCGAGATAATGTGGTTTTATTTACTCCAATCTTTAGTAAATCATGTTCATAATGTTAAATACAATCACACAAAACAAGTGCACCAACACATGCTAACTATGAAAACCGGTTTGCACCTCAGATTAAAAAAAATAAAAAAATAAAACCGTTTTCAAATGAGAAAGTGACATTTGATATTTAAGGATCCTATTACAAGAAATGAAACTGCAACAGTGACATAAAAAGACAAAGTCACAATTGCGAGATATGTAAAGTGGTATTTTTAACTCTGAGATGGAAACAGGTTTCCATAATTAACTATTTGAAACAATTAAAAGTTACTAAGGCAGGCAAAACGAAGCTTTTGAACCAGATCGGAACATGTGTGCATTCGTGAAATGCTAACAATGCTTTGCTGGAGTGGCTAGTCGGGATCAAAGGAGAAAAAGGACATGGCCACATTATTGTTCAGGATTATAAGGTGCCACTTGAAGTGACATCCGTGGTTATCTTCTGTCTGTGTGTGACAAAGAAGAAAAACACACACAGAAGTGTTGAGAAAGCTTCACGGCAGTGGCTGTGGAGATAGCTATTGATGCTGTGACCACGCGCTTAGCTTCTAGCAAGCCAAGGGTGATTCATCTTGAATTAGGCCATTATAAAACATATCACATGGACAGAGAGAATCCAATTAAGACCCTGCCTCATCTTTTAGTCTCTCACTCTGTCTTTCTTTCTTTTTTTTCCCCGCCTCACCACTCCCCTCTGTAAAGACATTATGCCATTTGGATTGGATTTACTGAGGTAGATTAGAAGCAGACACAGCAAAAATCCAGCCCTGAATGGGTGCAATGGTGAGGTAATGGATGGGAAAATACTGCTGCCTTCAGCACTCGCATTTGCGAACGTCCATTTCAAAACATCATATAAACAAAAAGTAGCCTTTAATATTTCACTTACATACGGCAACACTAAACAATAAGTTAGAAGGAGAGCAATGCCTTGCATTTTTCAGGGCTCATTTAAACACTGTAATCAAATTAATTCAATCACATGCCTATTAATCATATACAGTATATCAAACCTGAAAAGCCCCCATTAGCCTAGTATTATTGAGGTAAATGTGTTAAATAACAAACAGATATTACAAAAAGTGTATTTGTATAGTCAATATTTTGTTTGTTTTATCTCTAAAACTTGGATAAGAAAAATGCATATTAAGGAATTTAAGTAATTTGTATTGCATTTAAAACAAGGATCTTCTATATTCCTGCTGATTAGCAATATCACATTTGATAGTTAATTGGCAAATTAAAAAATTAAGTATGGGAGGCAGGATTAATAATTATAAAAAAAGAAAATATAAAAATAATCATTTTAAAAAAGTGTGATTTTATAGAAATATATTTGACAAATATTATACATTTATAATATTAAATAATATAATACATTATTACAATATAATTTATAATAAATAAATATGATAAATTATTTTTATTTTAATTTATTGTATAATTATTAAATAATTATAATGAATTATATAAAATATATTGTGATTTTGTATTACTGTTATTTTTAAATAATTCAATCGCACTAAATGAATGTGTGAATTGACAGCCCTATAAAACACACAAACACAATATGAACCCATCTGTTGATTGTGATAAATGAGTGACTGAGGCCTGCTGCTGTTGATGCAGAAATGTGTGTGTGTGTGTGTGTGTGTGTGTGTGTGTGTGTGTGAAACTGAGATTCTATTACACCCATAACCATCTTCACCGTCTTGTCCTTTCTCTTTTTCATCGCTGTCAATAAAACCTGCTGCCTTCCCAGGCAAAAGAAAGGCAGTCACCACAGCAACCGCCCTCCATTACAAGCACACACACTCAACTCACACTCACATACTCACACACACACACACTCTCTGGGACAGAAGAGGAAGTGAATGCTTGATGACTGGTGAAGAAAAGGGGCTTTCAAGACCCCCTGCCTTAGACATATGGGCTGGCTCCCACCGCAGGAGGCAGAAGAGGTGGAAGGAAAGCAAAAGACAGAGACTCTGAAAGGACTGACCTATCTATATCTTTATCAGTGCGTGCGCAGCCATTAACGGCTTTGGTTGAGCGATCTGTCATGCCTAAAGTTGTCCCACATGCTGCTTCTCCCCATTTGCACCCCCCCTCTCCTTGCTTGGTGGTAAAAGATGGGATTGCTTACTCTGCACATTGAACCAGACTGTGCGGGACATGATGGCGCGGCTGCTCACGGACCGGCCCACTTGGCACTCGTAGGGGCCGTCATCTTCCAAACTCACGTTGAGAATTTGAAGATGGTACTGGCCTGTAGGAGAAAGCAGGCGGAGCAGAAATTATGAGGAGGAAAGAAAGGAATATGAGAGAAATGTGATCTTATTGTTCACACGGACAATGGAGCAGAAAAGACTTGACAGCATTGAATGAATATTCAGGGTTAGGACAACTTAAACTCCGCTGATAGTATTTGTAATGCTTTGGGTTTCTAAAAAGCATATTTGAAGAGTTCCACCATTAATACAAATTTGGAGATTTGGCATGTTCAGATGCTTCCTAAAATCCACTTTTAATTAGCTAGAAACTAATCGGAGTAAAGAAATTCCAATTGTCAAATGGCAGTGCAAAATTTATGTGCGGTCTCAAATTAATGGCCCAAATTAGCGACGAGCGTTATACAGAGAAAGATTTTGTGATTCATTCTGTTTGATGCAGCCCTTCAACATCGTTCCTTTGTGTGCAAGGTTCTTGTTATTTACTATCAGAATATCATGCCACCAAGGGGTTGTTTGTTCAACTACCATTCTTCCAGGATCAATGGCTGCTCGGGCGAAGTTTATGCAAGCTGTTCGAGCTTTGAGCATTTTTCTTTTCCCCTTTTTTCCTTTTCTCCTCCCCTCTGAAGAAAACTAACATGCAGAAAATAGTATCCTGATATGACAACTTCCACGGCTGAAAAAAGGAGGTGTCAGGCAGGATGGCAGGATAATTAACACCAAACAGCAGCAATTTTCAGATCTATGTGATCTTTGAAGGAAAGGAAACCACTTTCAAATCATTAATGATTTTCCACTCTCTTTAAATTGCACTCGGTACACGCTGACTCGGTTCGGGATGTTTGTGAGCGCGTGTTTGAAGAAGTCCAATAATTACGCCTCTGACAACCAATATGAAACACCAACGGGGACTCTGGCCCGTCCTCTCACTCATTTCCTTTTGCAAGGTATCAGAGTGTGTGTGCGCACCTACGGTTTGTCACACAGAACTCATGTGGATGCGTGTCTGCGTATCAGTAGATTAAGGTTGGCAGGGTTAACATTAAAGATGCTTTCAGCATGTCTTTTTATGATATCATTTGTCCCTTACATGGCACTCTTTATCCGTCATGCTATCAATGCCCGGCGGCACAAGCGATAGTATTCAATAGCGTAAGCATTTTATAAGCATTTGCACTTGCATTTGGCACAAACTGCCTCTCTCTCACTATGTCGGATAGCAGCTTTTGTCCTCCACAAAGAGGAGCAGATGCTCAGGACTTGTTTAGCATTGTCTTTTAATTGGCTTTTTTTATATGCACAAAGCAGGCTGGCCAAGCATCATAGGTTATTCACTGCATCAGCCCAATTTATCTCAATTTACTCTCAATGGACATTAAAAATAGGAGTAATTCAGAGCTGATTTTACTTTATTTATTTATTTATATGGAAGGGAATTGGGGGTGGGTACTGAAGTCCTCTCACTCAAAAAAAAAAAAAAAAAAAAGCGAATTTCTTAAATCTGTCTCTGCTGCTTAAATTAGAAGCCCTTTGATAGTATCTCGCTAAGCTGTTTTTTAAGAGAGCTGAGCGCATTTTGATGAGGAAGGCTGCATCTAAACTAGAAATTGAGACTGAGGCATCTATAGCCATTTGCAGATTGTGATCAAAACATTTTCTAATGATTCATGCTAATAATCGTTCACGCTGAAAAAAGATGACCCCCCCCCTTAATTTATCATTTCTCAAACACTCCAGTGCATTTACCCAAGACAATAAAAATATTAATAGTAATCTCACAAAATATGTCAAGAACATTCTGGGTCACATTTCATCCCAAAATCAAACGGAGGGAATAAATAAATACAGTATTGTAACAAAAGTAATATTATACAAAAATATATAAATAAATGATAATTTATCAAATATAAAATATACAATATTTAATTAAATGCCATTGATTTACCCTAAATGTGAGTGTGTGTATATATATATATATATATATATATAGATATGATTTTTTTTCCCTAATAAAAATATTCATTTTTTTTTAATTTTGGGGTCAAATGTGACTTTTGTGAGATTCACTAACTAACTAACTAACTAAATACATACATACCTGGATGGATGGATGAATAAATAATAAAAAATAATTGCTGTGCATTGAGATTTTTCTAATGTTTAATGCTAATGTTTAATAAAAAAGCTGATTTGTTTCCTCAATTTGTCCCAAACACACCCGGGCATTTACCCAAGACAACATACTGTACATTTAAACCATATGAAAATAGAAAAATGGTAAATATTAAAAATATATATTTGATAATTATATACAAAATATTTAAATATATGTCAGCAATCTACCCCCCATTTTTTATTATTATTATTTATTTATTTATTTTCAATAATTACAACCATTATTCTTTTGATTTTAGGGTGTAATATGACTTTTATGGCAAGTTTTGTGACATTTTCTAACTGAATAAATTAATAGATGAGTGAATGAACGAACGAACGAACAAACAAACATATAATTAATTCTTTACTTTCTCAAATTGAATTGCACTGTAGCATCTGTTTGGAGAACAGTTTCACATTCTCGTGCTCTTTGGGGACAGTTGCCCGCTCACGCACATCTAACAACATCAGCAAACATCTCAGCAACTCGTTTGTTTTTAATCACCGCATGTCATTCTTTCCATCCCTCCGAGTTCTCACCTTTCTGCTGGTCTCCTGTCATGCTGTAGCGTGGGTAGCCAGGCAGCGATCTCTGAGGTCCCAGGAGCAGCCCATCTTTAACCCACTGCACGGCCCCTGAGGCCCTCAGCACTTCACACTTCAGCAGAGCTGTGGCCCCCGCCCTGACCGTCACATTACGTGGCTCTGTCTTGAACGCCTGCTGCCCACACACACCTACAAAAAGAGAAAGACAACAGAAGAAAATGGGAGAGCTGATGCGAGTCAAGGTTAGGACGGATACATCTTTCATTACCAACACAAGCTTCTATTGCTGAAGGCTGCAAACATATTTGCTGGAACTAACTAACTAAAAGTAGAAGTGCTACTGACTTTACAGCACCCTTTTCATTAGTCAGACAATGGTTCAGGGTTTTTTGTTTTGTTTTGTTTTTTTAATGCTAATGGAACAAGTTGTTTTTTAAATGTCACATTGACAAAGTAGATGCCATTTTTTATTCCAGTGAACTGGTCCGATACGTGTACCGACGAAAGGACTGATTCTTTTCAGTGTATCAGCTCATCTAGTTGATGCTTTCTCTCATATATATCAGTGGAAAATCTGATTCATTCTAGTGAATCTGCTGATTCAGACAAAAAATTACTCTAGATCAGGCTAATATACTATGCAGTGGAAGTTTGAAGCCACAACAACTGAACCTCGAAATTCAAAAAGGGAAACGAAAAGCATCCGTAATAAAACACAAATCAGTATAGTTTGCATAGCATTACATTTGTTGTGCATCTACTAGAACAATCAATTCCAACAAATAACCTTTATTTTATATAGTACTTTATACAATACAGATTATTTCAAAGCAGCTTTACAGGGATAAATAGGAAAATAACAATTCAATGATGCAAACTGAGATCAATTCTGATGTAAAGCAGCTTTAAAACAACAACACAAGTCAAAACAACAACGGCATTTTATGCTACTTATCTGCTCATAAGTCATATTTTTAGATATCTCTCTTTATTTCGTTATTAGGAGAGTTCTGGTGTTGTTAGTGACATTCGCACTGATCCATGAATCCATGAATCATGAAGCTTTAAAACAACAACACAAGTCAAAACAACAACGGCATTTTATGCTACTTATCTGCTCATAAGTCATATTTGTCAGATATCTCTCTTTATTTCGTTATTAGGAGAGTTCTGGTGTTGTTAGTGACATTCGCACTGATCCATGAATCCATGAATCATGAGCACAGCGGTGCGTCTCAAGCCAGATTCTTCAGTGTAGAATAGTGGAGCCGAATTTAACAAAACAATGTTCCGCCACGAGTTACTTGCACTTTTGCGCTTCAACCTCAAGAGGGCCAAAAGTTACATAGTATAGCTTAAATGACAAACTATGCCCTTAATAATATAAATCTAATTTCAGTATATTTACCTGTATGATGTTGTCACCATATCCATGTCTCCACAATTAAAATAATTTTAAAAACTTGGTTGTATTACCAGAGGAATTCAAATCTGAAGATTTCAGGGCCAGGACTAACTCGGATTGAGGTAACAGCTCTCATTATCCGAATGGGATCCAAATAGAGCTCAGACATTTCTCTTCTTTAATTATTCTCTGCCACTGTGCCGAAGGTCAACAACTGTGGTCAGAGAGTTTTTTTTTTTCCTGAATGTTTGAAATGGCAAAGGTAATTTAATGCCCTTCAAGCTTCCTTCTTTTAAAAACTTTGTGTGGCCTGGTGGTTATCACATGTGCTCTTGAGCTGTGGTGCTCATGCAAGCAACGTGAGTTCAAACTCGTTGGTCACAATGTGGTTTAACGGTTCTTTCTCTCATACCCTGACAAATCTGATTTATTCTAATGAATCAGTTAATTCCGGTGATTTATGTCAAAATCATGAATCAAGTCCATGCATTTTATTTAATAGTGACATATTTAGTTAAATAATTAAAGCTACACTATGTAACTTATTTATTTTTAACTGTTTTCACTCTTTTTTTAAAATGCTGTAAAATACTGTTATTATTACAAATTCTACTATTGTTTTACTATATCCCAAATGTTCTGACTATTCTAAAATATTCGACAATTCGAGCTGGTTTATGAAAATGTGAACAATGTGAAACATAATAAGAATGGTATAATGCTTTAGTAAATTATTTTCATATTTGTATTTGAAGCATGCATCATTCATATATTTCACCATTAGTCAAGTCATATTTCTATGGCTGTATGTTTTAAAAGTTTTCAGTCAATTTCAGTTGTTAACTAAACCCTGAAATACAATTAGGCATATTAGCTCTCATTTCTGCTCATCTAGATAGCAACTTTTGTATAATGTGACACATTTAGTCTCTTTTTCCTTTTATAACTAGTGTTCAAAATTCATATTGAAGAGTCAAATGTGGGTAAAAAATAATCATTTTAGCAAACAGATCAAATGGATTGCAGGTGGATAGAGAATAAGACCCAGGCTTTTGGTGGTGCAACTGTTTAGTAATTTTGCTCAATAGTTCTGCATTAGATTATGCAGAGCTGAGTAAATCAAGCATAATTTTGGGTAACATAAATTAAGCTTTACATAAGATTGTCACATATGGATGCTGAATTACCAGGGCTGCCATGCCACTCTCCCCATTGAAGGAAAATTTGCCTCCCACTATGATGTTGTACTTAAGCATTGCTATGCTGTTCCTCATCTCTGTGTATGTTTTACTGACGACAGATTGGAGCCAATTCAGCTCTGCAAATGAGTCAATAAAGTAATTACAGAGAATTAAATATCTCCTCAGTGAGAAGGAGAGCAGGCAAAATGAAGGTATGAAGAGATTTCAAATCCCCTTGCTGTTTTCTCAGCTGTCAATACACCTACGGCTAATATCCACCCAGAAGAATGATGACTGGGCTACAAAAAGACGCCTATTTCCTCACCAGTTGTGTTGTGGCATTATGATTTGTGTGACACCCATCTGCTGATCATTCTTTCGAATGGAGTCGGCTTGTACCTGTCATAAACATGATTTAACAGGACATAACACTGACGATGACTCTCCAACGACCCCGTTGTGTAACATCAGGAATGCAATTGTGGAACCTCTGTGTGGGAGATCCTACCTAATTAAAAGAACGTGACATTCAATAGTGGTTTGAGATTTAAAGGAACAGTGCAAAACAAAAATTTGATTTTTTTTCACCACTACAAGTGAATAACAACCTATAGGGATAGTTCACCCAGAAATGAAAATTCGGTCATCATTTACTCGCCTTTATATACTTTGTGTATTTGGTGTAACATTAAATGTTGACATGCTTTAATGTTCAAAAAACACATTATTTTTCAAATACTGTACATTATTGTAGGTCCTCTATGCCCCGCCTCTCTCAAACGATTCGTTTTCAACAAAGTCCCTCCTTCCGACAAGCGCAGTCTGCTCTGATTGGCCTGCTGACCCAGTGCATTGTGATTGGCCGAACACTGCAAGCACTCGTCGGAAATGTAACGCCCCTTACCATAATTGCGAGCTTCATCTTTCAAAATAAATGTAAAGAGAGTAAATAATGTCATTAGTTTTACCATCAGTTCAAGCCCGAAAGGGGAACAGAGTCGCGTTACAGACACAGTAATGATGCAGTCCACAAGCCACGGTTAAGACAGCTGACTCCACTGTGATGTAACGGTCTCTCTCTCTTTCTCTCTCTCTCTCTCTCTCTCGCCTTCTTTCTTTGCGTGCACATTTGGGTGTGTTATGCAAATATTCCCACATAGTGAGGTAGATATGTGGGGGCATGTTAGAACGAGCCGTTTTAGGGGGGCGTGGCAGAGTCTTAACTTTGATAAAGAATATCTCTTTGGTTTTGAGACTTTAGTCTTTGCAACTTCAGGGATCTTATCTTTGCACAATCAGCTTGTAACACTCCAAAGAGAAAGAAAAACTTGAAATCGCATTATATGACCCCTTTAAAAATAAGAGTTCTAAAATCAAACATACTGTATATGGTTCCCTTTATCACTCATGGAACCATTCCAATACACAAAAGGTTCTTTATGGTGGAATAAAGCTTCTTTTGATTATTAAAATGATCTTCAAACTAAGAAAAAATATTGTTTTAAGAACTGTTTACTGAAAACTACTTTGGGGAACCCAAAATAGTCCTTTTTTTGGCATTTGCTGCAAAACCCGCTTTTTGGAACCTTTATTTTGTGTGTACATGCTTTTTTGTTGCCCTTTACCATCCATAAGACCTTTCCATTGCACAAAAGGTTCTTTTTATGGAGGAAAAATGTTCTTCAGATTATTAAAATGTTCTTCAAACTAAGACAAAAAATTGTTCTTTTAAAGAAATGTTTACTGAAAAGTTCTTTGGGGAACCCAAAATGGTTCTTACACTCTTAAAAACAAAGGTTTTTCTATTGGTATCTATGGATCCATCAACGACCTTTAACATTTACACTCTTAAACATAAAGGTTCCAAAAAACTGTTTTTTGCATTAAACTGTAGAAGAACCATTACTGGTTCCTCAAAGAACCTTTCAGTGAAGAGTTCTTAAAAGGACATTTTTTTCTTAGATTGAAGAATATTTAAAAAAAAATCTGAAGAACCTTTTTCCACTATAAAGAACCTTCTGTGAAATGGAAAGGTTACATAGATGTTCTTCATGGAACCAAAGATGCCAATAAATAACCTTTTTTTAAGAGTGTATGTAACCTTTCTTTTGCACAAAAGATTCTTTGTAGAGGAAACATATTATTTATATTATTAAAATGTTCTTCAAATAATAATAATAAAATGGTCTTTGGGGAACCCAAAATTTTTATTTTATGGCATCTCAACAAAAAAAAACTATTTCGGAACCTTTATTTTTACCTTTGCCCTACACAGAACATTTACATTGCATAAAAGGTTCTTTATGGTGGAAAAAGTTTCTTCAGTATATTAAAATGTTCTTTGAACAAACAAAGGTTCTTTTAAAGACTGTTTACTGAAAGGTTCTTTGGGGAACTTAAAATGGTTCTCTATGGCATTGTTGCTTTTTTCTCTTTTAAGTGGGTTTTTTTTGGGTGTTTTTGGTGCCCTCTTTGGAACTTGACAACAGTTGTATGGCAAGAGTGGCCTTTATTTTTGGGTGAGCTACTCCTTTAATCTGATACACACAAGTTAGCAGGCGTTTGCTCTTTTTTGTGAGCCCTAGATGTACCTGGTATGAAGTCGGCATCAGACTTTGATCAGGCTCCTCTGATCCGATCGTGGCTTCAGCCAGCCTTCAAAGACCTCTTATAGACTATGATTACTCGGACACTCTTTAGAGTGAAAAAGCAAATGTAGCGCACACAAAAGGGTCAGCTATTTTAGGACACATTTTCTTGAAAGGCCGCTCCCGAGGGCACGGGCAAGACTTTTCAAACCCCGGCACCTCTTTTGAGCCAATGACAAATATCCAGTGCATCTGGGCACACTCGACTGCTCTCAAAAGCCCGAACAACAGAAGCTGCAACTTCACATCAAGACTGCATCAGTCACCTCACGTCAAACTTGAAGGGCACAATTGGACACAAGCGACAAGCCGAAAAACACATTAGCATAATGCTTACATAAATGAATACGTAAACACAGCAGCAAGATAATCAGCATGGCACATTTAAATGCTGCAGCCAGCCGTACTCATGCACTCCCTTCCCTTCAGCTGCCTGAGAAGCAGTGATAGGAGAGGAAAGACATGTCAAACACGCACCCCGGTCTGATTCCGACTCCTGATGCGGTGCGTTGATGTCAAATTTGAACAAGATAGTGACATGGATTAAGCTGCAGCATAGAATCTGACTTTTAGTTTATAGCGGGTGATGCTAAACTACAGCTCTGGAACAGAAAGTATCAACACTAATGCGATGTACAACAATGCATTATTCTGCTCCTTTTGTAGTCCAAATAAACACGACTCTGAGATTTTAATCACAACCCATGTGCGTTCCATTCAAGGACTCAAAGGAGATGGAATTTCAAAGTCTGGATCAAAGAAAAAACACATTTTTGCTTTGATTCAACAGGGAATGGTCGCTTTAGATTGGTGGTTGAGTCATAGCTTCAAAGTTATGCATAAACGAAAACGCATGAGGTGCTTCAACACAACAATTTGAATGCTTTCGGCGTTGATTGGTCAGATCAGTGATTCGCAAAAGGGCTCGCTGGAGACTTATTTTGCTAGACGTTATATTCAGACATAATTAAGGCACAAACAGAGTCTCATATTTCACATACTGCAATCTCATGCGATCTCCTTCCCTATAAAGCTTGTTGCACATTGCATAATGTATGAAAAGATTGCAATTACAAGCAAATAATTGGATTAGTCTGGATCAAAGAAAAAACACATTTTTGCTTTGATTCAACAGGGAATGGTCGCTTTAGATTGGTGGTTGAGTCATAGCTTCAAAGTTATGCATAAACGAAAACGCATGAGGTGCTTCAACACAACAATTTGAATGCTTTCGGCGTTGATTGGTCAGATCAGTGATTCGCAAAAGGGCTCGCTGGAGACTTATTTTGCTAGACGTTATATTCAGACATAATTAAGACACAAACAGAGTCTCATATTTCACATACTGCAATCTCATGCGATCTCCTTCCCTATAAAGCTTGTTGCACATTGCATAATGTATGAAACGATTGCAATTACAAGCAAATAATTGGATTTCGAATTATATTTACGAAGGAAACATTGACACCTTCCATAAACAGTGGTCTGTGGTTTTCAATTCGCAGCAGTGCTTTCAATGGGTTTCAGTTGTGAAACCAAGCATGATGCAAAGTTTTTAGTGACAAGCAACTTGTCGTCTACACATACTACACGTGTAACTGCTGCGAGACACGACAATCAAAGCAAAGTTGTGAGGAGGAATTTTGGACCAATGAGATTCAAAGTGGGCAGGGCACAATTACTTATAATTTGTGTTTGTATAAAACAATTATATACAAACTATACAAAAATTATATTCAAATTATATACAATTTTAAATGACACAATTATATACAAACAATTATTTTTAAATAATTTAGATACTATTATAGTTTTTGTTGAGATTTTGAATTAGATTTAATTTTTTATAAATTTTAGTTAAAGTTTTAGTAGTTTTGTTGTGTATTTTTATTAGCTTTTTGTTTTTAGTTTTTATTAATAAAATTTTTATTTTAGTTTTAGTTTTTTAGTTAAACTAAGATGAGAAATTCTGCCTTGGCAACTAGCTGAAATAAAATAGGTTTACATTTTTTAATATATATTTTATTTCAGTTAAAGATTTTGTTTCAAGTAATAAGCATGATTTCATGTTCAAATAATTATTTATTTTGTGAGTAGCCATGCAATCAAGGTTTATTTTATAACACTGACATTCCCCTTACAAATTTCCAAGCATTGTGTGCAGAGCTGGTCATGGCCACTGAAGCTCTGGTAAATCACAAGAACTTTTTATTATATAAGAGGTGGCTTACATAAAATGTCCTCGAATAATTCCTGTGTGTCACAAAAAATGTATATCTAGCCAGTTTGGCCCACAAGCAAATGTTCAAATCTTCTACTCTCACAGCTGCATGCAGTAAATGCTCCCTCACCGGTTCTGCACTGCTTGATAAAACTGCATCTGAATAGAAAGAATGGCCGAGGCAATTTACTGTAATGATTGCTTGTTGCATTTTCCCATTCTGCCTCCATATATACAATGTGCTTGGCTTAACGCCACGTGACGCCGCGTGGAGCGCCGACCTGCCTTCATCCTCTTTGGTCTGAGAAGCTTTTGACAGAGAATCCCAGGCCTTCCTCCCTCGTCTCTTCACCATTTTGCTGTGAGCTTTTATCTCATAATAACTGTGCTGCCTGTTAGCAGGCTCCAACAATCATGTTTAGTAGAGATGAAATTGGTTACTGTATGTCAAGGCTCAATTTGGACTGGATGGAAGCATATGTTGTTGCATGGCACCAAAGGAAATAATCTGCTTTGTGGAACATTCTCATTGCCCGTATAGAGGAACCAAGGTGGTAGTCTTTATGTCTGCATTAATGTAGAACAGTGCATGTGTGTTGAGCTGGATCTTGTGTATTATAAGACAGGAAAAATGTAAGAAAATTATTAACAGTAATTTAATAAAGAATAAAGGCTTCATGTGATAGAAAAAAATTACAAAATTATTAATTATTACATTTCATATTATTATTTATTAATACAAGTATTTATTTCCATTAAATAATTTCCATTAAATAAATTAATAAAAATAATAAAAAATAGTTTCAAATCAAAAATCAAATAAAAAAAATATTTGTACAAACCACAATAAAAACCACAGAGTTCACCCAAGGGTACAATTTCAGTACATAATTTTACATAAAAAAGAAATAAAATAAAAGTTAAATAGAATAATACAGTAAAATACAATAATAGAAAAAAATTAAAATATCATATTACATAAAAAAGATCAAATGAACACGTCGGCTCAAACCTAATGGTCATTACAAATAGTGAAAGCCTCATCAAAATATTTTATTAAATAGTTTTAACCAGTGTTATTATAGTTAACTAAAACTAAAACCATAAAAAATTATATTAATATTTGAATATTAATATTAATCTGAGGTTAAATTATTTTCTAATCTTACCTGTATATTATTAAAGTATTCACTAAGAAAAAAATAATAATACACAAGGGTACCAAGGGTTAACTAAAACATAAAACAATAAAAAATAATGTAGTGTAATGTAATGTAATGTAATGTAATGTAAAGTAACATTTTTGTTACTTGAATTAAAATAAACTTTTACTGAAATAAAATGTGCAAAAACCTATTTTATTTTATTTAAGTCAGCTTCCAACAACCAGTTATTAGGTTTAGGGGGCAAACACTTTTTCACACAGGGCCATGTAGTTTTGGATTTTGTTTTCCCTTAATAATAATAACCTTCATTTAAAAACTGCATGTTGTGTTCACTTGTGTTATCTTTGACTAATATTTAAATTTGTTTGATGATCTGAAACATTAAAGTGTGACAAACATGCAAAAAAATAAGAAATCAGAAACACTTTTTCACACCACTGTATATATATATATATATATATGTATGTTGACAGACCGCTGACAGACTATCCCGTATTAGCATGTCTCCTCCCTCAGACAGTCATACTCTGTCCGCCATTTTATTTTAACAACATAAATTATTCAATGCACAACTAAAACAACAACTCTTAATCTATAACTAGCTAATTGAGGCATAATGATATTGGAATATAGCAAGACACCAAAAGTAAGCTAAGGTAAATAATATTAAGCTGTTATCAGCACCAAGTTTATGAAAGAGAAGCTTATTTTTATTACAAAAATATATACACAGGAAAGTTATTTTGACACAGAAGACAAAAGCTTTAATCAAAAACTATGTTAAATATTAAAATATTTTAATACCACCCCCGAAATGCGATCGATTTTAACCCTTTGACGTGCCACGCTTTGGCTGGCGCTGAGCCGAGCCAGAGAAAGACGCTCTCGGTGCTTTTCCTATATCAAAACCATTCAGTGTTTTCAATTGCTTTATTTAATTTATTTTAAGGTTTCAGACATTTAAATAGACATTTCAATTAAGTACTAGCAAGAAAAGAAATTTATAGTTTGTTAAATACACACTGATTTCTATGGAAAGCGTCAATAATAAACCTTTCAATTAAAATCTGACGACGTGTTGTATTCCTATCAAATACACATTGAGTAGGTAACCATAAAGTTTACTCTGTTTTCTCCCAGTTCACTGGCCACTTACTTTCATGTATTTCATGAGAAATGGGTGAATTTGGGGGATGTAAATTCGACAGATCCACACGACAGCGTCCAGCGCGCATTATAGATCAACTAGCATGGTCATTAAGGTTGTTTAAATGACAAAACAAATTAATTTACACATATTTGACAATCAGAATAGGCTGTATTATATAGTTCATGATGTAGGCTAGTTAACAAGTTTGTGGATATTTTGAATAAAAAAGGAAAAACTATATAAAAGTCATACATCTGTCATACAGCGCTATTGTGCCTGCATGATGCGTCGCTATTGAAATAATAAGATGATACGTATAAATTATTTAATATTTAATATAGTTTTTTTTTTCATGTACTCTTGGGGGCCCCCTGGTGGCCAGGGGGGCCCTAAGCAGCGCTTAGTTCGCTTATGCCTTGGGCCGGCTCTGCACTATTCTATGACGTTTAGTAGTTTAAATACTGCGAGTAGTGCGTTCACACTGAAAATTCCAAAAAGAAAAAGTACACTTTAAATACCTGGATGATGCACTTAAATAACCGAGAAAAATAAGTGTGGAATGTTAGACACTTCATGTACTCAACTGTCGCAACATTAATTACATAGCGAAGGGGGAGCGGCTATCAGACTCTGATTATGAATGACAGAATAACCTTATATAATTCATACTCTACATGATTGAGTACATAGTGCATAAGTACATATAGTGTATAAGTGCACAGTGTATAGTGCATTATTTGGGACTCAGCTAATGTCTCGTAAGCAATGCAGGTGTTTTGTAGTTGGATGTGGAGTGTCTTCATTTTCTCCCGACGTGAGAGCCACTGAGGACGCAGTGGATTAGTTTTGTTTTTGATGGTAATGCGCCACCAAATACACCTAAATTAGTTTATGTCGGCGCAAATCATTTTACTCCAGATTGCTTTCTGAATGAGGGACAATTCAAGGCAGGTTTTGCTAAAAAGTTAAAACTCAAGGATGGATCAGTACCCACTGTTCATGATCCAGCTGCACCTCCAGAAGAAGTAAGTCTCACACTTTATATTTTTAATGAATATTTGCAAATCGGATTCCACGGAAGAGGGGGCGGGGTTAGCAGAGCTAATTAGCATTTAAAGAGACATGCACCGAAATGGCTCGCTGTGAACAAAGCTGTTTTTGACTAGGTAAAAAGGTGTTGTTTTACAGTACCACTGAGGAATTTTAACCAAAGTATGTTGCAGACATTTCATGAAGACCCTAAAGAATCATACCAACTTGTGGAAAATGGGTACCCGATGTCCCCTTTAATAAATAAAAATAATAATAAGCTAATGATAATACTAAAAAAAAATCTCATTCAAACTCTTTCTATTTAACTAAAGAATTTGTCTATTGGTAGATGAAAAAACTACTGCAAAAATCTAACACGTGCATTTCAAGGGTATCAATGGTAGTTTGACAGCAAAGTTACCATGGTAAATTTCTGTAGTGGTGTAGTTTTGTTTAGACTAATAGCAAAGCAGTTTAAGTATGCTTTTCTTGATTTTGCTAAACCTCTTTTTTTGTATGTGCACCTTTGTACAAAGATGCTCATGCTTTGATGAAGGATTATATTTATTCATTTAATATGGCACCTTTGGCAGATAATTGTACCGATGCGTGAAAACTGTTGCAAATGACAAAGCTGTGGACACAGTAATTGGTATAATGACTCAGGGTTTTTTAGATTAAATACCTTAGTGTAATTATTGTGTAAATGGATCCATATAATGAATACAAAATAGTTATATTTGGCCTTTGAGTTTCAAATTGTACCTTGGAGCTCCATCTGTAGAAAAACCCAGGCACTGGAGAGGACGAACGAAAACCAGAAACCCATCTCCTCCGATCACACACCAACAAAACAAATCTGTAAAAATAAGACCGAAAGTTACATATGTAAAGAGATACACACACATGCACTTAAGAGGGTCTAGGGCATTACAATGGCTCTTGATTTTTTTTTCTTTTCTTTTTTTTACCTTCACAATCCATTGAAGCACTTCCTTTGAATAAGTTCAAGTTTTCAGAGAGAACCTTAGGAACACTTCAAAGTGAAGCCCAGGGAGTGTTTCTATACTGCATGGAAAGAGCTCTCTCAAGTTCACGGCCATTACGCCACGCTTTAGCCTCCTCCACTACTCCCTATCGCTCTCTCAAAGCCAATAGCGCTTGCATTTCAAGTCAGGCTGCAATCTCTTCCAATTACCAACCACACTGGAACAAATAATAGTGATTTACTTAATTAAAAACTAAACATTTTCCCATCTAAATAAACAAAAGAAATTGAAAGCGCTGGCTCCTTGAGGCATCTCCCTCGGTCCATTAGTTGCAGTCCAATGGGCTTTGATAGGAATTAACTCACACTCAATTATACTCTGTGCCCGCAAACAGTCCCAGACGCCAAACCGTGAATGCGTGACTGCAATCTCCGTGAATGGATGGAGGGCTTTCGGTCGGAGCATACGCAAGCTGTATTTAGACATTCTTTAAACATATCCCTTCATTTTCTCTGTCTGTCTTCTTTTTCGTCACATGCACCCAGAGAGGTCTTTAGACTTTCATCTGCACAAGCTCCCAGCATTCCTATAAAAACTCTAAAAATTTTGCATGGGGGCACTTTTATGTTTAATACTTTGGTACTTTGGGAAAAGCATTTTTACATACTATTAATGGGCCTTTTCTAGGTTGGTAAGGTATGTACATTTTTGTAAGATTGCATTATGTCATCTCAAACTAAATTGATTATTTCAGTTTATGTCGTAATATATTTATGCCTTCAGAAAGGTAACTTAGTTTTGCAGTTGAATTTAACATTTCAAAGCTCAAGGTCATAATAATATATTATTATGACAGCTGTTTTGTAAAATGACCCAAATGTTACAATGGGCTTCTGGTTAACATAACTGCATCTATTCCACTACATTCCTTCGCAGTGTATTGAATTACCTTTAACCTCCTACGCTTTGGTACAAACATCATGTGTAACTGGATTGTTTGGTGGTTATGACCACAGCT